TTTGAGAATGTTTTTTTGCATTATTATGCCATTACCATCCCGCGAAAACAATCTCAAAGGAACAATATTACCATTTATCGCAATGACTTCTGGGACAATTTATCGTTTGACAAAATCCGTTACCATGACGTTCCCATTTGCAGGTTTTTGGTAATGCAGCAACTGTGGGCTGTTGCTGAGTTAAAATCATTGCTTTATTTAAGCAAAGTAAAGAAAATATACTTTGCCGTTTGATTTTGTAACGTTTTTAGAAACGATAACATTTGTATCGTTTTTCCATAAGGATTCAAAAGCGGTTTGACCAAATCTCAAACCGTAGCATCTCTCATCTGAATTTCGCTCTGTTTTACAAGAGAGTCGATGCGATGGAAGACAAATCAATGTCATCCTAAACCAGCGTGCTGCGCGCCACTGCCGGGGATGAAAGGGATGAAACGCATGTAATCCCAGCCACCTGACATACCAGGGTGATATGTGACCTGGAGTTCGTTAGAAATGATCTGTGTTTTCTTAAAACCTCGGGACTTTCTGTGTGGGCGAATCTTGTAAACTGCTGCGCCCTACCCTCCTCGGGAGCGGAGCTGTCCGCCGAGCTGTCTCCATCGGAGCTGCCGGACGCTGTGGCCTTGTTGACCTTCTTTTTAGTGGCGCTCTTCTTTTCAGAGCCTTTCCCCGGCTTAACCTTCTTTTTGCCTTTGGTGCCGCCCACGGTCCACTAAAACGCAGAAAAAGAAAACACGTCTCACTTTAAGGTGTTTCATGTTTTCACAGCTGGAAACGACCGGGTTCTGGTCCATCATTCCGTCGGGTCTGCCTGCCTTACCTCATCGTCGCTGTCGGACGTCTCGGAGTCTGTGGACGCTGCTGGTTTGTTCACAGGCTCCTCCTGCTCGCCTGAGTCCACCCTCTTCCTCTTCGCCAAGGACAACAACTCCTGAAGGGAAAACGCAGAGGACAGCTGCTCATGTCGGACGCAAAACCCTGATGCGATTTTTAAAAAATACAAACGGGAGTGAGAACAAGATGGCATTTTAGAGCAAAAATGTCAGTCGTTAATGAACACTGGAGAATATTCAAGCTTAACGGAACGGGTTCTTCAATACTTTAGTCTTTGTTAAATCTTGAGTCATAATAAAATTTCAAGAACTTTTTCTAAATTTGTAACTTAATTCAACAATTATCTAAAAGAATAAAGTTAGATAAGAGAATTGAAGCGATTGATTGGATGAAATGGCTACTGAAATAATCGTCAACTAAGTTAGTGACTGAATAATTGTTAACTAGAGTGTAGAGTTTCAAACGACATATGCAAAACAAAAATTAAGAAAAATTTGAACAAAAAATGCATACATTCTGCATTTAAGATAAAAAAAAAACGTTTTGTGTGAAAATATTTTCTAAGCACAACTCTTCAAGTGGCACTTGGTTCAAAATCAATTTAAAGAAATCTAATTATTAATGAAAAACAATTAACAGATTATTCCTACACTGTGTTCATGTTAAGTCAAGCAGGAAGAGCTGAGCTTTTCACATGTTAGAAGTTATTGTTTTTATCTGCAGATTCATCCTTTGCTACAGAAGATTAAGAGTTTGCTAAATGAATGTTGTTATTGAAAATCAATAACAGCAATAAGTCAATTCCTTCATTTACAAACTGAATTGAATTATTTTATTTCTAACGTTGTATAAAAGAGGCTAAAATAAAAAATCTGCAGCATTAATCGTCAGTAATCTGATTTATGGTCAGAATAGATAAACCGATAGATTAATTGATAACTATGATAATTATTAGTGACAGCAGTAGATAGATAAATGTGCTTTTCTCTGATTTTGCAACCAAATCTATGGCAGAAATAACTTCTTGGCGAAATGAGGCTAACTCTGCAGCAAACTACTGAATGAAAAAGTGGCATTGCAATTTTCGCCAATTGAGTGATGTGAAAAAAAAAATCCAGAAATATTTGAAAAGATGAAAGCAGTTCAAGTTGACCTGCACCAATCTGACCTCTTGCTATGAATGCTACAAGCATGGTTTTTGTTATTCTTATTGCCGCAGAATATTAGTAAATAGTTTTGACTATACCAGCTGCGATGCATGAATATTTTTCTTCCTTTTTCTCTTCCTCATCTGTGTTTCCATGGCTGTGACCTTTAGCCTTTAGCATTAGGATCAATGTCAGAGCATCTGTTGACATCAGGCTCAATCAACCTGGCTAAATATTACGCTAGCAGATAAAATATAAGCTCAAAACACCTGGAATACATTAGTCAACAATTATGGCTCTCTCAACAGTTCTTTGGGATATGAATGTTGCGGAAACCGATATTCAGTTTACGATATGTTAGCAATAATTGTGCAGCCCGACTTCATAATATCTGCCAGGAAACTTTTAACACAAATGAAAAATTAGTTTTTAAAAGCCAGAAAGGTCAGCATTTAAGTTGAAGAAATTTGATTTTATTTACATTGTCGATAACAGTTCGACCAATTACATTGTTTAATCGTACTGTTAGGCATTTCCGTCTTTTTTTTTAAGTCTAAATCAAAAAAGTTTTTGACTTTTAGAAGTTTACCATTTTACAGATCATTTACTTTTGTCTATGAAATTCTTTTGATTAAACGATTTTTTTTTCGTATTTCCGCATTAAATAATTACTCAGTTCTTCCTACAGTTGTTTGACTTCATTTTTTCAATTTATGTAGTTTAATATTTTCTAAAGATTTCTTGTTTGCTTATGGGTTTTTTTTTACCACCACAAAGCACTTTGTGTTGCACTTTACAAAAACATGATTTATAAAAAGTTTCACTGATAATAGCTTGATTATTACAGATACGACAAGGTTACTGATGCCATTTATTTATCGTCGTTTTAATAGATACACAGTAGCGTTCTGGTGTTTTTATAGAGTAAAATGAGTACAATAAGCAGATATTAACTAGTTAATCTGTTAAGCTGGACGTGTTGATTTTCTTTTGGGAGAAAATTAACATAGAAATGTGACACCTCTGCTGATCGTATTCTCTATATGAGCAAACACATCTATTTGAAAGTGAATAAATATGTCAGCATTACAAAAAAGTATTTGCATACCAGTTTTGCACAGCAGAAAGCTCAAAGCTTATTAAACAGGTAGGAAGGGTTTGGATGTGACCAACTCTGCATGGCATCACTGCCCACGCACAAATAAAATTCTGCTTTTGCTGCTGGTTGCCGTCATTTATAGTTGACAGATATTTCATACGGCGTCTGTTGGACAGAATCCAATATATTATTCATCTGTGAATAGCCAGTTAATGTTTTTAAGCATACAACTATAACAAAAATCAGACGATTTGATATGAAAGCGTGTTTGGTTAGCCCGTGAGAGATAAGATTTATATACACAATTAATAATTTTTATTTTAACTTCCAAATTTAATTATAAAAGTTAAAAAAAGGTGCCTATTACATGAAGGACGAATATTCTTTATCACTGTTCTCATCTTCAGACATGAAACTCCCATAAACTGACATTTATTTCAACCACTAAAACAGAGAAGTAGAACTTATTTATTTATTTATTTTTTTACATATTTCACGACAACAGCTAACCTTTTTAGAAATTACACATTTCTTTGTGAACACTGACAAACTTTCAGAGATACGGATGTACATTGAAGGAAATAAAAAAAAATCACAGTAGGACTTCAGGTTTCAGAGTGCTCCAGCTGTATTCATTTTCACATGCCCGTTACTGGTATAGTGTAAGTTATTTGACCAATTCTACATTTGGTTTTCTGTGACAGGAAATGTGGCCAACATTCCTATTCCTGCTGTGATTTAGAAAGTCATTTAGAAAGCGAGTGTGTGGATAAACTTTGGTCAACCAAAAACTGACCGGGCTTTTTACGCGAGTTCTCCGCTTTTAAAAGGAATACACTCGGTAATTGTAGGGATTTTCAGCATGAACGTCCAGCTCTCGGTGCCGTCAGCCAGCGCTTGTTTATCAACATCACCGAAATAGAACTTCAGCTCTGAGCCCATGACGTCATTCAGGAGATAGTGTTCATGCTAAACCAAACCAATCTCTACATAACAGCTTCAATTTGAACATTTTCCACGTTCCCCTCCAGTTTGTAAACACGCAAACACCCCACTCGTCCGCGCGCAGACACAGGCAGGCAGCCAAAGACTGGAAACCATTAGGAAGGTGTATGGCGCGGTAACATAGGACTGCATGATTACTAGCATTATGCAACCATTGCTAGACTGGACAGGCTGCTTCCAACACGCACAAGAGCCCAAAGCACATTCTGTTTTATGATATATAGTGTATATACACAGTAGGGACGAGGTTAGCATTATGTTACGCAAAGGTGACAAGTAAGACAGGCCCACTCTCAGCTTGTTCAAGCAAGGCCAAACACAGCGTAACCCATTAGCATCCGCTAGCTTCATCCCAAATTGTTGACTACTTAGAGAGCCCACCGCTGGGGAGAATTTAAGGAGAAAAAACGTGACCTACCTGATCTAAATTGTCATCACTAGCACTGTCTTCAGAGTCAGAGTCAATCACGTTTCGAACTTTCCGCTTCTTAACATTCACCATGATTTGCTACGCGGCTAACCTGCTAGCTGCGCCTGTGTCGTCAAAGCGGTTGAGATTAGCCGCTGATGCTACTTGTCTTCTTGGTTCAAAGGCAGGACGGAGCATGCGCGCACAATGGCTTTACACCAATAACTTTTATATACTGGAAAGATTTTAGGAAATAACACAAAATGTGTAATTTTACTATATCCATTTCATATTCTGAAAGCTTTAAAAAAATATTTGTGATAGGAAAAAACCATACGGACAAAACGACACTGAGAACAGAGAGGGGAACTAAAGGTTAGTGAGTGCGCCAGTCAGGACGGGAATTTAAAGTGCAACAAAGCTATGTTCAAGAACTACTAAGGCTGCTGTTACAAAACCATGTGACTTTCACTGTAGTTCTCATTTATTACACAGGTTGTCGTCGAAAGTATTCTGAACGTAGCTTTCCAGTATGTGCGCAGATGGCGTTTCCTGTGCGGACAGAGCCAACCTTGAATTTATTCGTGACTGTTGTAGCATTTAAATACCTGTATTGAATTGTTTTATTGTATTGTCTGTTCCATTCATGTAGTCGGCTTCTGGCTGGACCACTTACAACGCGGATAGAGTAAGCGAAAAATACATTTTCCTTCATACATGACAGGTTTGCAAATGTGTGAGTGTTCCAGGCAAAATACCGGTGGTGACCAGAAATTGAGTTTGCGTTGAGTTCAGATTGTTGTGAAGAGTGATCAGATGGCATACATTTAATTACAAAGTTTATGAAAATTAACTGCAATCAGTTAAACTATTTGAATTATCTTACATTTGTTTATTGCCAGTGTTATTTTGAACGGAATCAGAAGAGCAGGGCTGTTGCTTTAAATGAGAGAGTCGTTTGAATTCAATCTACTTTTGCTTAAAGATAGTCATATAAAAGGAAGCATGCGTTGCTATTAATGTTTTGATTAAGGTCTAAGAAAATTGCGGCTTTTGAGATTGTTCATAATTTACCTATTTATTGAATAAACATTTGATTTGTCTGTGTGGACAAAAGCACAAAGTCGTGGTAATTTGATTCAGTCTACAACCTAGTGACATTTTGCCTAAACTTTATGCATTTCTCAAGTAAAAACTTTTGACGTATAAACGTTATCAATAGAAATATTAGAGGTTTACCTCGTTCTGTGTTGTAATGTTGTAATGTAAAAAAAAAAAAAAACACTGGAATTGATGTGGAAAATTTTATCAAACAGTAGATGCCTGGGATAACTCTGAATATTTGTGTGAAAAGAACACAAATTAAACATTAAGAAAGGATGTCACTTGATTCTAGTTTGTACATTATTACAAGTTTGTACAACATTGATCTTTAGTTCCACATAAGAGCTGCTATGGTTAATCTCTGGCTTTTATATGCTTCATTTCTGTTTTTACTAACAAAAACCAGATAGAAGAAAAAGAGTGTCATGTGCAAAGCCATAGAAACTGTGGAAAGTGAACTACAAATCTGTGTTTATTTAATTTACTATAAGAAATCAATCAATCAATCAATCTTATTTGTATATCATATTTCAGCAACAAGGCAGTTCAAAATGCTTTACATCATAAAAACACAAAAAGTAAAGTCATAAAAATAACAGTCACCAATTGAGAAACCAGCAATAAACATACAAGAAAAGTAAATGTCACTATACAAATAGAAACGTACAAAATTTGTATTATTGTGCAAGTTAAGGCTTATATAATTAACTAGTTCAGATGAGACATAGACATGCCAATATCATGCTAATTTATACTTGCTAAATGCATAAAAATAAGAGCTAGTGCATATAAACTCATACATATTTTGGGTCAATAAAATGTACTTCAAATCAGCTTTTCTTGGTTTAATGTATGCCAAATAAAGACATTTATTAAATTCTGCCAGTAATTCTCTGTAACTCCAGCTTACTGGAACCATTTCCTGTCATCCTTCCCAACAGAGACTCATCCAGATCGCACATGTCCCTGCCGAATATCTCCCGCGTCTCTGCGTCGGGGCTCCTGCGCTCCAGCCGTGATCTGCGCTGGCTCCTGCGTTCCGTCGCGCCTCTCGCCGCGCCCAGAAGAGCTTTGACCCAGATGGGCTACCGGCGGCCCGGCCAGCCCAGAGAGGATAGGCCCCCCTGGTGGAGGGTCAAATTCGACTTCGCTAAGGGTTTGAAGGGCATGAAGAGGCACTTCAAGCTGCTGAAGGAGGAGTTCTTCGCCCCATTCGTTGGTCCGATGGGCAAACCCATCATGGAGCACATGCTGGAGCAGAACCAGGTGTTGTGGGAGTTCAGGGGCCCCCACAGCCTCCAGGAGTGGACGATTTCCTGCGACAGGGAGATTGGAGGCAAAAGCGAGATTTACCTGAAGGTCGGAAGGAATAATGAAAGCTGCCTTCTGTACGGGACGCTTTGCTCTGATCCTCCTAAAGACGGGGAAACGCGCTACAGTGGATACTGTACCATGCGCTCCAAGCAACCTCTGGTTGAGTGCTGCGTCTCCGTCTCTCTCTGAGTGTTTCAGATTATTTCATCGCTTCTAGGTCCACACGGGGATGAACCACAAGCTGAAGCATTTCCTCTCCTCTAGGCTTCGTTTGACAGGAAGAAGTACCACGACTGGTCCAGCTTCAACACCCTCCACCTGCGTGTCCGGGGTGACGGCCGGCCCTGGATGATCAACATCGTACCAGAAACCTTCTACACTCACCAGAAAGATGACATGTACAGCTACTTCCTGTACACCAGAGGAGGACCCTACTGGCAAGATGTGAAAGTAAGTAGGATAAATAAAATGGAACAGTTGAAGTCAGAGGTGCACAAAGTCTTTTTGCCACGAGGGCCAAAATCGTTAAGTTGAAAGCACTTCGGGGCCACAAAAATTATTTTTTAGGGGTTATTGTGTGTTTTATAGCATAATTAAGTAAGTGTTACCTGCAGTTATTAAAATATTGCATATGTAAAATATTACTTGAAAGAAATTTGACTTTAAAATGGAATGCCTTGAATTTGGGTCTCTGTCTCTGTAAGAAACTCCTGCCCCCCCTGACGCTCCGCCTTCAGGAAGTCGCCATAACAACAAAACAAAAAAACACTTTGTGCCTTTTTAAAAAATTTTATTTGCTCAATTCTAAACTAAAAATCTAAAATTGTATTTAAAGTAACAAAAAAAATGGATCTGTATATCATTGTAGAAGCAAAGCATAGAAAAGGTTTTTGTATGATTTTGATACTTGCATGTGATTATTTTTCACCGTTTGTAAATCAACTTAAAACTGTTTGCATATTTCAACAAAACTGTGGTACTATCGATAATCAATTTGCTCTTGGTTGATGCAATCTACCAAATACCCATTTCTAATTGTGCATAAAAGTATTAACAGCAGTTGAACTTTATATCCAAATATGGATTTTGGGAGGATTTTTATGATCTGGGCCAATCACTGAACCCGATTCTCCTTTCCAGATCCCGTTCTCCAAGTTCTTCCTGGCTCATCGGGGGAGGATACAAGATGACCAGCACCCCCTCTGGCTGGACAAGGTAGCTTCAGCTTTAAAATGGTACAAACTACATTTAAATTTTATTTTTTTTAAATCTATGAATTCTTTATTTACAGATTAATAGCATTGGATTTACTCTTGGAGACAAAGCAGATGGTCCCTTCCAGCTCGAAATTGATTTCATTGGCGTGTGTAAAGATTACGCACACACTGAGGACTTCGCATACGAGAAGTACAAGAGGAATCCTGAAGTTTGAGAGTTCCTGCAGCGCAGCATTCGAACAGGACATGAGGACTTGTGACAAGACTTTTGACTCGTTTTTTTCCTCCATCTGTACATTTAGAACAATGATCTTAGTAAAATAAACAAATGTATAAAAATTTCACACCAGAAAGACCCAGGCTTTAAAAATTGTCATCCTTTTGTAAGCAGTTTTCAAAATAAGCCATAAATTAATTTATAGCACATATATCTATCATGGTCAGCCTTTAAACACAGATGAATTGGAAAATATAAGTGTACAATATAGAAATATTTTCCTACTCTACAGGAACCAGGATGTTCTTTAAAGAGGAATTATCACAAAGATTAAACTTTTTTTTCTCCTCCTGGAATTTTATTACAAAATTCAATAATAAAACATCACAATTAAGAACAGGGTTTACATGTCAAGCATCTTTTTGATGTTTTTCTTCTAGGCCATTAAATGTTTTCCCCTCAGAAGAATGCAAAAAATAAAGCATATAAAACTGTTGTTAAAAATTTACATAAACAAGAGTTTCTACTTGATAGAGAAAATTGCGGCATTAACAGAAATAAAGCTTTAAAGCAAATATCTCCACAAATAAAGCGGGTTGGAGGAAAACACTTGAGCTTTTCTACGACATCAAAATATTTACACTAAAATTCGTCACGCTTTCCCAACGGCCGTCATTTTGAAGAATAACCCCGTCTACATCATCACCAGCCCTCTCCTCGCGCCGAGCAGGTTTTCTTTTTTCTGCTTCCGGCTTTCCACTTGTTTGGTTCGCCGGTCCTCCCTAAAACAAGACAGATCATCATCAGGAGGAGCTGGATGGACAGAGACTAAGCTTGCAATATTTGTTACATTTCCAGCTGCATGGGTTCGTGTCGAACAAGTCAAACCGTCTGAAAAACCTGTTCCCCTCCTCTCCTGTGGTGGCGCCGCAACAAGAACCGCTAAATAAAACGACATGTAAACCTGAGAAGACCCTTCACAAAATGTAAACAAAGCCCGATCTGCGTCAGATTTGAGCAGTTGTAGGATTTCTCTTTTGTCGTTGGCAGAAGACCTCAAGCCACTTTGTCCCACTAGAGTCAAAACTTTCATTTGTTTTGGTTTTATTTTGTGACGACGGAAGTTGCATCAGACATGAATACATTAAATAATTCATGTCTATGAGCTGTGCTTATGTCTTCGAAGTTTTTCGTGTTATTTCCTTCAGTTCTTGGTGCAGCGCCGCCACAGGCGAGGAGGTGAACAGGTTTTTCAACTCGTTGGTATCATTTGACAGAGCAGTTGAAAATGTAAAAAAAAAACGTTGCCATTTTGGCCCCCCGTCATGCAGAGTCTACCAGACTATCAGGCGTGAAAACCCCATAAGATTTTTAAAGACTCCTTTAAGACTCACCTCGACTGGATTTTGGGCTGTTTGTAACCGTCTTTGCGAGGATTGGCAATCGCAGACTTGTTTCCCGCTGCGTTTTCCACGGCATCTCCGAAAGGTTTCAGTTTACCTATGAAGTATTTAGGCAATCAATAACATGTCTAGCATTAAATTGTCCTGTGCCGCATCCGCAGGCCTTGAGGAATGTTCAGTACCTTTATGGGGCTTGTAGGTGAGGGGACGCGACAGACTCGCCTTCAGGTCGAAGGCAGGTTTCTTTTGGGTTCCAGGCGTTCCCAAAGCACTCGTGTTACCGGTGAAAATGAAGGGTCCTTTTATAGGAGGGAAGATGGATGCCTTTTTAAAATTCTGTAGACATCTACAAGTAAAGCTTCAAAATGTACAATAGCTTGAAATGGTTAAATATTTTTGTCACTCGTTTCAGACACAGCCTTTATTTTCTTTTCACCTTGATGATCATGGCTGACAGATAATGAAAACTAGGAGTGTAAATTAGGGCTGCAACAATTTAGCAATATCTTCTGATGATTACTTGGATAAAGAAATTGGCACATTTCTCACTTAGCTACTTAAGCCTTTTACTTTTTTTAAATAAAGACATCTTATTGCCTAAAGTGCAATAATGCAGTCTTCCTTTAGCGAATGCTTCACAGGTTAAAACAAACACAGTGTAGGGCTAATTTGCTGAATATTTTTTGATTAATCGATTAATAATTGAACAACAAAAGGTGCTTAGTGGGATTTTATTTTATTCTTTTTACAGAATTAGAACCAGGTGAAGCTAAATCTGCCACTTGAGTAGTTCTGGGTGGAACATATTTACACACATTGTGCTTGTTTTTATCTTGCATGCTATTCTTTCAGCACATTAGATTTTTTTTAATCCGTATCCTCCAGTTAACATTTAATTGATTGCTAAATTAGTTGACAATTATTTCAATAATCAATTCTTGACAATTAATCTGATTAATCGTTTCAGCCCTGGTGTAAATCACCTGCTGCATTGCGATACATCGATTTGCTCAGATGACGATACAATGGTTGCCGATGTCACGACCTCAGCAGAAGCAGCTGATTGCCTCCGTGCCACGCTGCATGGATGCAGCGATTCACGCAAAACGAGCCCCAACCGACTACTGAGGGCACAGAAATGTACACACTTTTTTAAAAGCCTGACATTTCTGTTGGAAATATCTTTTTATTGATGACATACGACATTCTTATGTCATTTTGAGCTTTCATCATCTATAAGTCACAGTCGCCAAAACTACAAGAAATACAGGTTTGAAATATTCCACTCTGTTTAATAAATCTGTATAAATTGAGTCTCAATTTTTAAAATGAGTGCCAAATAAAAAAAACCCTACTTTTTCACAATACTCAAATTTTAGGAGGTCTACTCATTTTTCCAGATCATCTGACGAAGTGAAATGTGGAATTACCTGGAGTTTTCTGGGCAGATGAAGCTGAAGACTTGGCGACGGCCGGCTTTCCTGCATCTGCAGTCGGTTTTCGTGGGGTACTGGAGGCGACGCATGGCGACATCCGTGCTGGCGTCTTCACCAGGGACCTCTTGAACTCGTTATCGAGCGTGGCCTCCGAGAATCTAGAGAGATTTTTTACAGCACCGCATTAAGGATTCAATTAGATGAAATCATTTTGAGTCACCGTCAGCTTTAATGCAAGTTAAATATACTTGGGTCTAATATACTTATGCTGGTAAACCGGAGAAAGGTCAAAGGTGGCTCACCGGACATTGACCCTGCGGGCGGAAAGGACAGAGGGTCTGAACGGACCGTCTTCTTTTTGTGCGGGTTTTTTTGAAGGGATTTTGCTGGCCGAGAGCAAAGTGTGGCGACGCTTTTCCTCGGCCGGCGTCTTGTTGCTGGGGGCCGGGCTGAACATGGTGACACGAGCTGAATTCTTCTGCAGGACACAAACACGCCTATCAACAGAGCCACAAAGGGCCTCAGTAAACAGCGCTCTGCAGAACTAGTCATGACCCTTGACCTTTTGCACTTTGTTACCATGTTACATCCACAAACGTGTATTTTTCAGTGTGTTTCACTGGAACGGAGTTAGATGGAGAATATTGCATTTCTCTCAGTCTTTGAAACGATTAATCGTGATGAGTCGATTCTTGAACTAATCAGCAACTAATTGAGTAATCAATTAATTGTTAATTAGAGTATACAGACTCAAAAAAAAAAGGTCAAAAGCTGAAAAATATACTGGGAGCAATAATCAAGCCAAAACTGTAAAAATGTATACAAATTTTGCATTTAAGATAAAAACATTCATCTGTAAATGTGTTCTATTTAAAACCCAAGTGGCACTTGGTTCAAGTTCAAATGCTGCATAACTGCATCTTAGGCAACTAAATATATATATATATATTTTTTTTTTTTTGTTAAGAACGAAATTGAAGAATCCCCCCCTCCCATTTTTACATGCATTTCTAATATGTATAACAAAAAAGTGCAAAAAGCCAAATGAAAAATCTGCAGAATGTGCCAATTAGAAAAAAAAAAAAAATCAGGTTGATTAATCATCAGAACAATCAATTACTAAAACAATAGTGAGTTGTGGCTATTGTTTCTCATTTGGAAACACTTTAAAGTATTTCTTCATTTAAAAGTTGTAATAGGTTTGACTGAGATCGAGTCACTCTGAACCGATTTCAATTGGTGGATTCTCCTTCCATGTGGAGCCACCAGAACACATAATCTCAATACATCAAAGTTTGTGGTTCTGATGCAACAAAACGGGAACATGTTCAATTGGTTTAACTTTTTCCCCAGAGGTACTGTAGTGTGCATTTAGCATTTACACCCCAAATCTTCCAACTCAAAGCCGACCAATAGGATTTAATTAATCACCTTCAGGTCTTTGGCTGGATTTTTGTACGTCTCAATCTGCTTCGTCTTCCGCTGAACGTAGCAGTCAATGGACTCCATCTTGTTGAACTGGGCCTCATGGAGCTTTTTAAAGTCTGGTTTGGAAATCAAATTCACAGCAGTTACCTTGAAGGGTTTGGAAGGAGCTATTGCTTCTCATTTGTCCACAAGAACAGTGAATCAGGGGAGGAGAAAACAAAAGAGAAAACTTACTAGGAGTTGTGGGCTTCAACAAAGTCTTGCTCTTCTGCTGGAGACCTTGGTAACGAGGGATCTTGCCGCCTTTTGCCACCTTTGGTGCCTTTTCTGTACGAGAACCAGACGATGGGAACATGAATTTATCATTCACCACTCAGACCCCATCAAGGGAAAAATACCTCATTCTGTGTCTCGGAAATCAAAACATCATTTTGGTTTACAATTTCTTTAGTCCATGTCTGGTTCCAAGTTTCTCTAATCTTTACTGACCTGTTTCAGCTAGCACAGGAGCTTTAACCTCGGAGTCCGGCTGCAGCTGGGGCTCCGATTCATTCATCTCAGAATCTAGGTCCAGGGTCACCTTCCTTTTCTTTTTCTTCTCCCCTGAACTGCTGTAAGATTCAGCTGGGTCACCAGCCTAGAAAAGTGAGGGGGGAAAAAGTAAGGACATTTAATAAAGAGAATAGAAATCTGAAAGCAAGTCACTGTTACAACCTAATACCTCAGCAGCGTCAGTGATCCTTCTCTTGGTGCATTTTCCTCTCCCCCGACGTGTGTTCACAAACACAGCCGGACTGGAGGCCTCTTGTTGGGAAGCATCATCTTTACTCTCCTGGCCGCTGTCTGAAGCTGCATTTTCATCTACTCGGACCTTTAAAAAAAAAAATTACAGGAATAAAAGTAATGGATTATCCCTAAAACGTGTTTGTGTGGGGATTGCTTGGATGGCATTACTGTAGTTTACTGTCGTCTTACCTACCTCGTCATTTTTCTTTTCTTTTTCATAGTGCTGCTTAATGGCTTTCAGGAGCTTATCGGCCTGTGTCGAAGAAAGAAATTCATTTTAAACGCACTTCACGTACAGTTTGTGTTAAAGTTAGCAAACATCTGCCATTAACATCGTCGGTCGGAGTAAACACGTCAATGTACCTTCATGTTTGCCTTCAGCCCCAGCTCCTTCGCGATGCTTCGCAGCTCCGCATACTTCATAGAATCCAAATTCATCCTCATCTGCTGCTTTTCGACGTCAAAATGCGCGTAAGTTCACTTATTTATTTGGATGGACGTCTTTACACCGCTTTCTCCCAGATTCCTCGGCGCCCGACGGTTAAAATTGCCTCCGATTCAAAACACAGCCAAAGGAGCTACCCGATTGGCTCTCGCCGTTGACCGGATGCAATGCACAGCCAATCAGAGTTAACGTGGTTAAATACTACGTAGTAAATTTGATTGACAAAGTGTGAAAGAAATACAATTATTCTACATTTTTAATTTTCAAATGAAATAATCTCATTCAAAATGTATTTATTAAACTTTAGCTAATTTTACGTTAAATCCTACGTTATTTGTGTAAATCATTTCATTTGAAAATTAAAAACAACATTATTACTGTTGTTTTAAGTTATGTTTTTTGTGGTGTAGCATCATAAAATTATTGATTAATGCTAATCGAATCTAGAGAAACGGCTCTGCTAACTAGAACAGCGTTTAGTCTCATAGTCATTAATATAGTTAACCACACTAACTTGAGTTAAAAATTAATGTGGACAACTAAAAAAAAAAACAATAACACCTTTCTGTAGCACAATATCATGTGATAAAATAATAAGAATTCAATTATTTCATGTTTCTTCTGTTTTTTTGTGTGTGTTTTATTATTACTGACGTTGTTTTCTGATATTGAATCCAGGTGACATTATTCATGATATTATTGTAATTAATTATATAAAAATATGTATGAATTTAATTCTGATTATTTTGGTCTTTCTTAACTCTTAAATACAAAAATATGATATAAAAATGTCATTTAAACGTTATTACTCTACACCCCAGGGATGACATTTTTGATGTATTAACATACATGAACGTCTTTAGAACTAAAACATTGTTTACAGGACAGCAAGTTGTGACTGGAGAGAAGTGTCTAGTTCAGAGTGTTAATTGTTTTTTAGGGTAAATCAAGACAAAATTCGTAGAATTCAGTGCATGAATGTATGAATAGAACAGTATCTTGATCCACCACATGGTGGCAGTGTTGTACCAAAGGCCTGTCACGGTCAAACCAATAGAGGATGTGACGTATTCTCTTTTCCTCTGTTAGTTCAAACACTGCAGCGCCGACCAGTCGCAGATTTTATGCTGTATAACTGGGTATAATGGAGTTTGACGAAAACCTCGTAGTAGAGAGAATCGATGATTTAAAGACGATTACAACATTGGAACCGGAACATTTAATGACTCTTCATTGTGTGCAATGCAACACGGTTCTGGCGGACTCTTTAGGGGTGTGCGGAGAGCTGAAATGCATGGACTGCGTCATGTGCATGCGTAGGTTTTGTTTACGTTTTGTTTGTATACAACGCAATTAGTTTCGAAGTTATCGTTGGTAAATTTGCTTGTGTAGAATCTGTTATCCTCCAAGATTAAACTATTGTTTATTGCTACGACTGCTATTATTTAAAACAACAACAAACTCCCCCCCGCCCCCTCCGAAATCGTGTTGCTAATGACAGTTTTTATCGCTCGACAGAATGTATCGCGTGATATTAAATAGTTTAGTAATTTTGATTAATTTGAGCTTATTTCCTTTCTGATTTATTTATACTTATATGTAAGTTTTTATCTCCCTCAGGAGTAACCAATGACGTGGTTGTGAGTGGCGCTCTGGAGTCAGTTCACAAAGGGGAAATGGCTAACTGGTGAGGACATAGTGACTTGCAAGAAGTATTATTACACTGAAATGAAATTACACTTACGTGGACTTTGGTTAACTTTTTTTTTTTTTAACTTATTTAGGTTATTAGTTAGTATCGAAGTAAAAGCCGTTTAATTCAGCTGGATACCAAATAATTCAGATTACAGATTTTTTTCAAAAATTGAAAATGTAACATTTAATCCACTTTACAATTTAAGTTTTACTTGTAATTTGACAATATAAATATGTTAAAGAGTCTTGCAAGGCATTTTATTTATTTTTTTTGCTTTTGAACAAGTGTTCATGTACCACAGCGCATATATATATATATATATATATATATACCCAGTTAAGTGAATTGCCATTTTGGATTAATCCTCTTCTGAACCCAGCCTCTCATCTTTAACCACATGAAAAAATTCTTTTTTCTTTTTTTTTTTCTACTAAATTTCTTGTATTTTTCTGTTTCCTTTCAGCATTTGCTCCAATCTAAAATGCCGTTCGTGCAACAGTGTCGTGGGGAAACGCATTCACGCCGCTCCTTCGCATCTGGTCGCTACTCGCTCCGTCTTTCTCCTGAACAAAGCCAAAATGAGCTGGTGAGCAGCTCTGATTGGAACTGCATGTTGTGTCTAACTATCGAGCTTGTCACATGAAGAGTGAATAACTATTTATGTCATTATTTTAGCGAACATAATTAATAATAAAAAATATCTGTACCTGCAGTTACATTCTGGACAGCAGCTCAATGGTGAAGGCGTCCTCTCTCTCATTTGAACTGAAGCCTCTTCAGGAAACTGTTGATGAGGTGAGAAAAGCAAAAAACCAACTGGGAACACTAACATGCACTCTGTCTGGATTCCTTTTGCTGATTTCGCATTGAACTATTGTAGACCTTCCCGGTTGATTACAGTACATTAAATTAGTTCTTACAAGCTCATTTCACCTGACAAAAGGTGACGGAAATGCAGCCTACGAATTACACTTGAAAAGTTAAGTGAAGGTGTGGTTTTAAATGAGACACTGCTTCATTTTTGGTAAAAACTTCCAGCAGCTGTGTCCTTTTCTCTGCAGGTAAGGCAGGAGTGTGAACAACAGCTGGACCTGATGGCACACACCTGCAGCCAACTGGCTGACATGAGCATGAACATCAGCAGTCGAAGCAAGAAGTGGTGTTCGTAAGATGTTTGGAGTTTGTGCTGTATGTGTGTGTGGACTGGTTCTGTCATTGATGCTGTAGCATTTAGCTTTTATATATATATATATATTATTCTGGATGATGTAAGGCTTTACATGTTCTGTGTTCTTTTAAAGCTGATTTCTTTGTATTAAACTGATCATCTTTTTTTAAACAATTTTTTCACACAAGTTCTGCTACACTTATTTGTACTTTTCTTTTTTACAATGATTTTGAGTTTGATATCCTGATTTCTTTTTCAAATATTGCATAGCTAGTAGTAATACGTTTGAAACTCCCTAAAATTAAGATTTTTTTTTTTTTATTTCAAAAGCATAATCTCACCTTAAAGGGATAAAAAAGTCCAACCTTTATTTAAATACAGCAAGAGTGAAATAACACATGAAAAGAAAGGGGAAAAAAATATTTTAAGAAGTTTGCCAGGACCATTGTAAGAGAAACAGCATCACAGGCATTGGCCATGTGATGCTTTCCCATGTTTCAACCTCGGAAATTAATTTTAAAAAAATATATCTCCACCAATCCCTTTACTGTAAATGAAACAAACATTTTAAACTTCAGTTCCAAAATATACTCACTGTTAAAGAACAGCAGCAAAAAGTGGCCTCTTCGTGTCCCCATGGCGACTATGATACAATATCTTTATCTGCCCTTTTAAAACCTAGACACATGATGATCGCTAAACTTTTTTGAGTGCATAGACTATTTGAAAATTTAAATGTACTTTGTTTAATTTGGCCAGTAAAAAATGTGGAAAGAGCTGGAGATGGGTGCCAGGAATTTGGACCATCCTGGGAGTTCTGCAAGGGGGATTTTCAAAAAGTTTGAACAATAAAGGTTGGATTTTCTTTTTTTTTTAAAGTCTACTGGGTCACAAAGTAAATGTTAGCATTAAATATGGATACAAAGGTCCAGCTTTAGTTTATGAATCTGATTGAATGACTAAATAAAAAAAAATCTTTGGGATAATTAAATTTAAAAAATAAGACTTGGAGTACTTTTTTGGCTTTAACTCAGTGTATCAAATATGTTTTGCTGCTCAATTTCAAAGCATAAAGGAAACAACACAATTCAATTGGCACCATGCTGCTTTTTATTGCTTAAATTTTTCTGATACAGATTTATTTTTTTTTATTCATTTATTACAAAACCAGATAAGAGGCTCACACATTTTAGGCATGCCCGTTTCCTCCCTCTGGAGTGCATAGTTCCTATACAGCCCACCATCTCAGTGGAAAAGTTGAGCAACAAAGTAATTTCAGGAATTTCACCAAGGCTTTCGTTGTTATGTTTTCCTCATGGGAACAAGAATTGCAGAGCTGTACTGTAGTGGTACTGCCAGATTGCATGTGACACAGGAAATAACACAGAAACTGACCAATTCCTTCTTTTAGTGCTGTTTATATATATATATATATATATATATATCGCAGCTAATCGATAAAACCGTCGGCGTTACCTTCAGTTGGATTGGAAAATCATAATACCCCTCCCCCCCCACTCCCTCTATACTTACACTCATTCACATTACAAGGTTAGGTTATTGCATGCAATACAATTCATTCGTTATTCTGCTAAATCATGCATATTTTTTTAAACCCACAAATTCATACCACCTGGACGTCTACTTGCTCATAAATTGGGATTATAAATCACCATAAAGAACATTACAGGGTTGCCTGAACACAGCATTCAAGACGTGACGGTGACGATGGGCGGTGCAAGTCGGAGAGAAAGTGCTTTTCACGCTAGCGTCGTTCGGCTAGTTCTTTTTGCTGCCACGTTTATTCTTAAGTCTGCAACTCGCAGACGAGGAGAGGGTCTTCGTGGATGCTACAAGAGTTCAAATTTAAAGCCTTTTTCGTGTTCAATAGCGACTAAAACTAAATGAGGCTAAAAAAATTAAGATAAAAGGAAATGGGTGGCTAACATGTTGCTAGTTCAAAGGCATAGCAAGGGAAAGGGGGGATTTTCAATGAGATGTTAACACAGTCCTCTTAACACCAACTCCTGGAGCTATATTCATGCATTATTTCAGGTTATTGCTTCTAAAAAATCTAATTAAATACAATTATGTGGATTAAAATAGAACGCTCTGAATCCCAAAACTATGAGGTCACTTGTACAATTTCACGATGACGACTGTAACTGCATCACCTATCTAAGATGCCGAGTTGTGGATTTAAGGTCCTCCTCCCAAATCATTTATGTAAAGATTGTCCCATCTGAGACTAGGTTCTCGAAGAAATTTTTTTGGCTCTTATGTTAAAACTTTACAGACTACAATGTGGTTTTAAAAACAATACAAACATTAACATGTGTAGAGGTGCACCAACAGATCCGCTTTTGGAAAATCCAAACTCTTTCCATTCAGCGAATTCACCATAAGATACGCTTCCATTCCAGATGTGCTCAAAATTTTGTTGCTATTATGCTAATGAATTAAAAAAATGAATAAATTTTTTTAAATTCATGAATTAAAAGAAAAAAAGTTTACATTAAATATGACATGCAATTAATATCACATGTGAATAAGTTTGTTCATCCAGTTGGGGATTTGAATCAAGTATTTCCATTGCAGTTTTGCGAAATAAACCAATTTCTCTATGGCCAAAACGCCGCCTCATCCTAGAAACACAACGTTTTATTGAAAAACGAGAGCTTTTTCGAGAGTGCCGTGTTTCCATTGAGCAAATTTATTTTCAAAATGGCAAATTGCGCAATTATATGGTTCATGGAAATGCAGCCGTAGTCTGTGACTCATTCATAGTTTACAGCTCTCGCAATGGCTGCAATCCGGCGAGAGAGAGCCAGACTTCAGTGGAAAACAGGAATGCTGAACAGAGTAGAGCAAAGTTGCTATCTTATCCTGAATATATCCTTAATATCCTTTTGAGCTTTAAGCCTTAAGAGCTGACGTAAGAATCTACGCTCTGTGTAATACATACAATTAATGCTGTTTCTGTAATGCTAGTTGCGCTAACAATGATAAGAGCTAAAATAAGACATCCTTAAACTTCACTTTAAAATACTTGCGAACCCTATTCTACAGCGACTCCTCTTTCACAGACAATGTGACACTGCCACGGCTCTTACTATACACAATCTCCAATCAAGACAGGAAGGCTAGAAATAAAATATTTTGAATGCTGTTATATTTTCTCATGTTACAGTTCAAGAGAAGTCATAAAAGGTTGAAATCGATGTTGGCAGGTCAAAGACATACAAAAGCCATAATTGGTGCACCTCTTTGTAACGGTGTATCCCAACTGTGTCATGCTATATATTTCCTACTAGCATATACATGCCTTAAAACAGAGCTCAAGCACTAGATTTTAGGTTAGAGCATTATCTAAATTTGACGTACCTAGAGGTTTTTTTTAAAGTATGAGGCTAATGCTCCCTAGTTTTTACTGAAATGGACTCCACAGATTTGAGCTTCAGCTCGGCCTACAAATCGATACTCTTGATGAAGCAAGCATTACTACTGGTCATGCATGGCTACTATGATGTTTTTCGGCACCACAGTCCCGCTAAATAAGCTAACGCACATGAGTCTATACATATCTTAATGGAAGACATTGGTGATTTTGTTGCTTTCAAACAACTTGTCACTTGTTTTATACAATATACAGTTTGGTCAACAACATGACAGTTAAGATCAAATATTGCACAGATCCCGGTAAAGTGTAATTCTGTTGTTGTTGTTGTTGTTTTCCCTATACATGTATATGGCCAAAATAAAAATAAAATAAAAAGGGGAAACCATTTATAAGCTGCAGGAAGTGTGAAGATGTAAACTCTTGACGCTACACAGACACGGCTAGGCATGAGCCGGATATTAGCATCAAGGTACGAAGTAGGGATGCACCAATGTGAACTTTTGGGCTGATGCCAATACCCGATCTTAATACTGCCATTTTGGCAGATAACTGATATTTACCACCAACTTCGCTCATTCTCTGCTTCGGCTAAACTTCCCACAATCCTGTGCTGTGTCACTATCACATGACCAATCTCCTCCCTCACTAGAAAAATGGCAACAAGATGGAAATAAATTTCGGTTGTTAACATCCACCCAGTTTTATTTATCAGACCGATACCTAGATGTTAAAAAATGACTATCGGCTGATACTGATGTTAGCGCCGATATATCATGCATCCCTAGTACGAACATTTTAAAGACTGAATTTAAAAACCACTAAAATGCTTTTAATGAGATGCCAGAAAAAGAGCTCTAAACAGAGATTTCTAGCCACACCCCTCCCCCACACATTGCTGCACACTGTAAACTGGCAGGGGCTTTTCCCAATGTTTATTAGGAGTCCAAATTTAGCTGTATATTTTCAGCGACCTAAGTATTTCTGGTAAAATAAAAGCAGTTGTCACATAATACCCACTTTGGTTTCAGATTTTTATAGCAATACTGTGCCGTCTATAAAAACATACCAGCTCATGCCTAGGCAAGACGTTTAAGGAATCCTCCTAACAAAACTAATGCTGAATATAAGCAACAGCATATTTACCTTCTGCTCTTCTGCCAACTACCTGATATGTCAATACTGAAACATTGATGGACAGACAAAGATGACTGCTGTGGTGCTCCGTAACGCCATGCTTTGTTCAGAAAACGCTCCTCTCAATCCCCTTGGACTTACTGTGGCAATGAGGTAGTTGAAAAGAAAGGAAAATGAATCAACGAATCTTAATTTGTATCACAGGCGTTTGATCTTTGCTACAGTATGTTGTGTCTTTACTTTCTTCGAGAAAAAAAAACACATACAGTTTGCTCATTACCAAACCTCTTGTGCGGTTGAAAAGCAACTCTGTTTTCATAAGCATCACCTAGATTTCACCCGTTTCTTTAAGCAAATTAAACAGGTGTCATTACACCAGGCTTTATGTCATAGTTTTCATCTCCGAGGTTGGACGACTTTAAATCTTTGTAAATCTGAAATGTTGCGAGCAATCCTCACTGGTGATTAGGCTGCAGAAAGAGGTCAGGACAAATGGGAATGCTGTGGAAGAGAGAGAGATATCCAGTGTCCCAGAAAGCAACCCATAAAGAAGGTTAGCTTAGCTACAGTTCTCTTGGGCTCGGCAGAAGTGGAGGTTCTGGGTCTTCTCCCTGGACAGGCTCCATCTCTCTACCTGTAAACATTGGTTTCATTGGAAGAGAAAATGCGGTATTAAAATAACATCTAAAAATCTCCCAGTTATTAAATTATTTGCACAAAATCCACCCATTTGCAGAATTTTTGTAGTTTATGAACATTTTTAAACATTAAACATTTTTGAAAGAGCACAATGCTACTTGACACGTCATTGGCTGGCAAACCAGCCAATCCAGGAGCGTCCATTCATTTTCTTGGTGTTGATTGGCTGTACTGCCAAGCCTGAATAAAACAGTTTGTGGATGTTAGCTTCTGTGGTAGTGATAAGAATAGTTCCAAAGTGTGCATTAATGGATATTAACCTAAATATGGTGTGAGTCCCAAATATTCACGGATTTCAGGTATTCCCGGCCCAAAATAATAATAATAATTACAATAATTATTAGTACAATTAATAATAATTTTCTAATTTGTTTATCATTCTAAATGTATGTCAGGTAACATTATGTATTTATGATAATTTCTTTAAGCATTATTCTGATAATATTGTGGAAACGTATACTTACATATACAAATATATGATGCCCAGGGTGGCATTAATGCTGTAACCGCCACTGTATAAACGCAATATGATAAAGTAAATTGAGCTCTAATTTTAAAATGTAAATTAACACGCAAGTACTAATACTAAGTGGCTAAAACCTTAACTAATCAGCTGAATAATGAAACAGATGCAACACTTAGAACTGGATAAATAAATTTCGCAGAAGAAAAAAAAATCTTTCAAGGAATTGTTGACTGAAGCACTGACCTCAGTGTAAAATGATGTAGAAATATTTCCTCTGTTCCTCTGAGCTGCTGCCGCACACAATGGTAAACAAAAGCCGGGGGGATCCTTCCTCTGCGGTGACACATTATTAAGAGTCCTCTTCACCTGCAGGACTGCCAGCTTTATTTTCATAAGACGACTCGACAATTTTGTAGGAAAACTTCAAAGTTGCGGACCCTCTTCTCTCCTCTCCTGGACACGGCAAGGGGGAGAGAAGAAGGTCCTCTCCTTCCTTCACCCTTCGCTCCTACGCCATTTTTGCTCTGCTAGTACGAGCAAAAAAAAAGAGTGCGACGATTGGACGGAAGGGTTGTCAGTCAAAGCTAAACCCCGCCCCGGAAACACACCTTTTTCCTCTCGTCCTTCATCTTAATTAGGATTAGAGGTTGTTTATAATCACTGCAACGTTAAATGGTTACTTAGTTAAAAGATATTCAGACGCAATTACAGTCGGTTGGCATAGAAACGCTAAAAATTGGCAAATTTCCTATTTACAGATATTAGTAGTAGTGTGTTTTTTGTTTTTTTTTCAATATACAATGCAAACCCAAGCGGATAAAGCGGATTATAAAACACCAATTTCCACTACAGCAATCGAAATAATTACGACATTATTTTTAAAAACTCTATGGGAGTCTTTAAACAGGAAAAAAAGTCTGCTCAGACATTTAGCTTTTGGCAGTAAGCTAGCCAAAACTCAAATTTTGGCTAGCTTACTGTTTAAGAATTTAGACACATTGGATCATCTAGTTCTAAATCCAAATTCAGGCTTTTGACGTGTGTTGGAGGAGGGAAACCTACAAAGGTTTTTATTACCGTGACAATGAGAGGGAGAACAACGCGTTCTGTAGTGAGTCACATAAGAGATGCCAGTAGTTTCTGTCGAAGGAAATTGCATAAAGCAAATGTAGATTGACACAGTGAAACCATTGTTAAATTCCTTATTTGGGTGCAAAAACGTGACCAATAAAGTTTATCCTAATGTCATTAGCAGGATATATGAGGAAAAAAAACTTGATTTGGTTTTTTTTTTTAAATATATTTTGACTAAAATGATAATTGATTCGATTGATTTTACAGAAAAGTCCAGGTAGATTTCCTTAAAATACTTTAATACTATAAATATCAGCTACTATATATTGGTTCCCCAAATGCCATGTATTATCAGCTAGTAAAGCAGCAAACTTCAACAAAACAACATGGATTTCATGGCACTTTTTATTCAAATCAAGTTCAATAATCACTTACATAGCTACAGAGAGACATCACATTATATATAACTTATGATCCCATAATGATTGATGAAAATAGTTGAGCTGTTCTTCCTGCACTCTGTTACCGAGAAATGCAGAGATGAAACAAAGTCACACTGAAGCTTTAATGGCTCAGACAACTAAACTCTGGTTCATATTCATACTCCTGTACAGATTATTCACTCTTTGGCTTCTAGAGCTAAACACAGAAATAAGTTAAAAAACAGACAATCAGCTTTTGTTTTTTCCCCTATTAGCCACAATAGAAACAGATGAAAGTAACAGAAGAATGAAATGATATCTGTGTGGAGTCAGGCTGAATGAACAAGGTGATCCGCTCCACCGTAGATCCTAACATTCATTCCTAGGCTTTGATCAAGTCCTAATAGGATTTAATTTAAAAAAAGAATCGCAAAAACTTTAGTTTTAACAACTCTAACTTTAGTCCACAGGAAAGCGACAAAGTCAAGGCTACAGATTTGTGATTAGTGTTTAGTCATGGCACTTCAGTGAGTAAATCAACAATCAGTGGGGCTGGTCTCGCTTTGCTTCGGGGAATTGAATAAATTACAGTTTGCTCCACCACAGGCCGGAAGGAAGGAGTCATATAATCCTGACAGCGTTAAAAAAAAAAAAAACAGATGCTCATGAAATGGAATCACACATTTAACAATTTGCACTTGAGCACATTATTTCTACATCGACGCATGAATTAAATATGGTTGTATTAGTAAACTTTGATTTAAACTTACTCACAGCGACAGCGAAGAGCTTTACCACAAAGAACAGCAGTGTTACCCACTATGGCCCTCTAAAATGTCTCTAATAAATACCGGTGCATTATTAGGAAGGTGGACACAAAACAACTCAAGGCACGCAACCGTTTCTTCCCCCCTCCACTTTGTTCACGGAGCGGTGCAAGCGACAGAATGTCAGGATCAGAGACATCTGCCCGGTGTGAAACGGTGCGTACCTTGGATGTGGCCCTGAGACGGGCTGCAAAGCAGGATGAAACTATGACCTGACAACAGCTGACCAGTCCCAGCTCTACTCATGATGCTCTACTCATGATGTGTGAAGGAAAACAAAACAAACAAACAAAAAAGAAACTTTAGTGAAGGAACCGGATGCTCATTTTCTGTTCCACGTCCACCTTTTCCAAAACCTGTGAAAACAGATAGAACAGCATGTTAACGCACAAGAAATTATAGTCAAAGTTTAAGTTTTAGCAGGTAACTGCATGTATGCGAACAGCAGTTTATAGCATTACAGTTCAAACAGTAAAATAAAAACAAAAATTGTGTTTTCACAATTCTTATTAATCATTAGCAGGCATATAAGGACTCAAAAAAAAGGCAATCTAGTGAAAACAACATATTCAGAGTAGCAATTGAGCCCAAACTGTAGAAAACATATATAGACACATTTCACATTTAAGATAAAAACTAATTTGTCTGTCAACATGTTTTACACAAAAGTAAAAAAAAAAAATTCACCTGGTTCAAATTCCCCAAAGGAATTCGATGTTATTGTATTTTAAGCAATAAAATGTTTAGTTTCTTATTTAAATTGCCTCTTTTTTTTAAGATATTAAATTATTTTGTTTATTTCCATTTTCTAATGCATTTTAATATTGTACAGAAAATGCTTAAGTACTTTAATGAAATTTCTTCAGAATTTACCAGTATTTTTAATCAATTAAGAAAAAAATTAATTAATTAATCGATTAAACCCAATCAATTATTGATTAATCAATTACTAAAATAATCGTTAGTTGCAGCCCTGTTAAGAAGTGAAAATATTTTCTAATATAACCAGAAAAACGCTCAGCCAAGCACGGTAATGGCAGTATGGTCATTGGGTCTGTTTTGCATAAACAGGACCTGAGCAGGTTATGGTCATTCAGTTGACAATGACGGAGTCAAATCAGTGGTCACCTTCATAAATTCTTGAAAGGAAATACAGGTGTCTCCGTTGGTGTCGGCCTCCTGGATGGTCCTATCAGCAATGCTGCCGAGCTGGTCGTCCGAAATGTTTACGCCGACCATCATCCGAAGGACCTGAAACAAGTGACGTCGTCATGGTTACTGAATATGTTTAAAAAAAAAAGAAAAAAAAAAGCAACTGCTGAAGATCAAATAAGCGTTTACGCAGACAATACGGTGGTCAAAAGAAACTTAATGTTACACGGACAGCAGAAACGTGATCACTTGGAGGCATTTTAGCTCTTTGGTGAATCAAAGTCAGTTTTTAGAGTTTATATATTTGGAGTCACATGTTTAGTCTGAATCAGTTGGGCCAGGTGGTGAGACTGTTTTGCACCAAACAAGGCCTGCGTCTGAGTCACTCAACCAGCAGCTTCCCGCCAATTACAGGTCGAGCAATGTCACCCAAACCGGAGCGGCTTCACGGAGAGACAACAAATAACACACAGGAAGCTCCGAGACGACAGAACGAAGAGCCTGCAGCTCAGGTGAGATATCAAATCAGCACAAGGTCTAAGTCTTTTCATCAACTCGGTTATTCAAGCCCCGTGCAGAACGCCTATGAGCTGAAGTTGCATAACTGCGTCTCGTTGTCCTCTGACACCAGGCAGATTTGGATTGGATTATTCAGGGTTCGCACAGTTTTCCCACAGGAAAAAAAAAAAAATCAAGCAAATTCAGGGGAAGTTTTCAAACTAGACAGTTTCAATTCACTATTGTATGATATAATTTATGACTGTTATTAATAATGTCTTGTGACGGGACAAGGTAGCTGAAAAGCAAGAATTTTGTGTTTTCAAATGTCTCTCATACGCCACACACCTGATTTGGTCCGAGAACAAAACACTAATTTCGCAAAAAAAGTTCCTCCATTTTCAGTAACTTTAATGTTTAAATTGTAAGACGACCTATATTGTAATTACACAGATCAATAAGTCATTGAGCGATCAGAAATAATGAAAAACTAACACTCTGACATAACCCAACATATCTGAAGGCAACTCAAATCCCTGGTCAAAATAAATGTTTAAACAAAATGTACAAAGAAAGTTACAAGAAATAAATCTCTAAAAAATATATCTGAGATTTTATCTGGCATTTAACAAGTAGAAGTTATTTTGGTGATTCTAACTTAAAAGAAGAAAAGTTCAGTCTGATTTATCTTCAGCCGTTGAGACAAAAAATTGTTGTGTGTTTTTTAATTAAGTGAATGAATACATGTAGTTTTAACTGTATATAACATTCAGCAACTATAAAGTTGTGCAGATAGAATAACAGGCACCTTGAAGGACTTTATACAGAAATCAAGAACTTTCCAAACCTTGAAAACACTTGACTGAAATTCAAGCATTTTAAAGGATTTCAAGCACCCAAATCCTAAACCCTGTTTATTTGTCTCTACTGGAAACAAGCTGATTGGATCTGACTGATCTCTGTAATGTAAAAAAAAAAAAGAGGAGGAAGTCGGAGCAAACCGACTCACTGACCTGCAGCAGCTCGTCCCGGGAGATCTTGTCGTCTCTGTCCAGGTCGTACAGACGGAAAGCAACTGGGGAAAAAAAAATAAAACTTTTCTTTTTAAAAAAACAAAAACAAAGTGGTAACCCGCTGACCAAAACCCCTGTGAGTGCTCCCCATAACGGTCAGCAGCTCCACCCTAACGCGACCTCGGCGAACACTCACAGAGCAGCTTGTTTGTCCTGCTGTTGAGCGGCTCCGTGGCGGGCGGGTTCTTGTTCTTCTCGTTGTCCTCGATGGGTCTGAAGTGTGCCAAGGTGCGCATGAAGCCCTTGAAGTTCACCTGATCCTCCCTAGAAGACACAAACCCTCAGAGTCAGCAGTAATCCAACACCTGCGGTACGTTCTTCTTCTTCTTCTTCTTCTCCAGCTTGAGCGAAAGCCAACGGTGCCAAACCTCCGAGAGGAAATCGAAGCCATATGAAACCATTAAAAGCCGCGTCTGGAATCCAAACGCCCACTCCTGAGACATTTAGGGATTTTAATGATATAGACAAAACATCTGGTTTTCCAGCCTTCCACTCTGATATAAATATAAATATAAAAAGATGAGGCTTATTTTAGGGATGGGAAATGTTCCTACACATTTTTAGGTCAAAGTCCTTTAATTTTACAGAGCGTTCTGAACTTATGAAGCTAGTTCTGAAAGTAGAAAGCAAAACAAAAAAAAAGGTTTCTATACCTTTTTGTTACATTAGGAAGTAATAATAAAAATAATTTGAAAAACTAGGAGAAAAAATAAAACAAAGGGACAATCCTAAAGGATGAATTGATGGAATAACAAATGAAGTGATGGATGGACAAGGATGGAAAAAAACGGAAGATAAACTAATGAATGGACGGAAAAATGGAATAAACAAATTGACAAATTAATGGATGGAGGGGAAAATAAACGGATGGACAAATGAATGAATGTATGGAGGAATTGATGGATGGATGGACAAACAGAGGCAGATGGACGGATAAATGATTAAACTGCTGGGTGGATTAAATATTTAGACAAATGGCATAAAAAAAAACAAAAAATTAAAAAACGAAAAAAAAAAAAACATTCCTATATCCCATTTTCAGGATTTTCCCCAGTGTTTTGTCAGCCTGGCGGGCCACCAGGCTTTACTTGTGCCCCAACCAGGTTTAGCATCGCTTATTTATTTAAGTATTTTAAAATGTTTGCATTTTTCAAGACTTTAAAGTTGGTGTTCATTTACTAATCTTCCAGTCTTCAAATAACATGATCATACTTTCACATTTCTTGTCAACTTTAAACATTTTTTAACTCAAAAACAAGGCAGTTCGCTGGGTGAACGACTGAACTAGAACCCAACCACCAAGCTTAGCAATTTTTCTGGGGAGAAACCTTGTATTTTCTTTCTTCAAACTCAAACCCAAACTTTTCCAAATGCCCCATCAACCCCATCGATCAATATTCCTCATTGACACGGCCTTCAAAGACAAAAGGCAGAGGGAAACAGCAAGTTAGAGAAACTTACCCTTCAGGAAAAAAGGCGTTGATGATTCTGTCCCCAAGAGGATTGATGGCCAACTCTGGGATCCTCTGGAAATCTTCTCGACTGTCGATATCAGAAAATACAATTAACTTAAAAGATGACCCTATAACAGTCCGCTACAAGGAGATTTTAGCTTAGCAGAAAAATATACTTTAACCAAGTTTTTAAAACAAAATCACCCTCCCCCCCACCTCTCAGAGGACTGGGGTGGGTGGCTGGACGTAGACCTCTAGAGGTCATTATTATGGCAACTCTCGGACGATAAGGGAAAACTACAACAAACGAGGACAAGGAGCACCCGAGACGTGTTTTCTGTAAACAGAATGTCTTTCAGGAGACACGCTTCCAAGAAACTGCAGACACATTTGGTAACACTTTATTTGAAGGGGGCTGAATAAGACTGTCATGACACTTTCATAAACATCAATAAGTCTTCATGAATATTTATGACTGTTGTCATAAAGCGTCATTCGGTAAATTATGACACTTTTAATACAAAGTTGACATTATTCAAAATGTCTTTGTTATGACAACTTGACATTAACCAAGAAATCATTACTGTTTAAACTTTACCTCTAAAAACATAAAGTTACCTAATTTTTAAAGTGCAATCAATAATACTTTTATAACAAATTTATATCAGTGATGATTTCTTGGTTAATGTCAAGTTGTCATAACAAAGACATTTTGAATAATGTCAACTTTGTATTAAAAGTGTCATGATTTACCGAATGACACTTTATGACAACAGTCATAAATATTCATGAAGACTTATTCGTGTTTGTGACAGTGTCATGTCAAATTTTATTCAGCCCCCTTCAAATAAAGTGTTACCACACATTTCACCGTCCTTGAAGGGTTGACCTGCAAATGATTGTCTTAGTAAACCAAAGGGCCTTGTTAAACCAAGGTTCACATGAGAGTCTTTATTGCTCAATAATTATCTCATATTCCATCACTTATTACCTTAAACTAGACTCAGTTACAGCGCTTCCCTGAAGCTTGTTATTGATCTTCCACAAAGAATACTCCTCCACTTCTTTTATTCCATGTGGAGGCATTCCCCATTTATCAGTAGCAAAGTGATAAACACATTAAAAAAAACATAAGATGCAACAATCAATAGGTCAGAGATTGGGAGAATCAACTGCTTAAAAATGTGTCCAAATAAGCAACTTTCACATATTTTTTTCTATAAAACGCATCAACCAACAGTGTGAACTTTAATGGACTTTTTATAGCAGGAAGTATTGGAAATTTGCGGATTATACTGTATCCCTCCCTCCCTCTTAATTCTAAATTTTGACATCTAACAAAGAACTTAAAGCAACGAAAACAGATCTGAAATATAAACAGGAAATCAGATTCATCCAGGAAAATATGATCGATACTTGCTACCAAATATAAAACAGCCGTAAGAACAGACTTTAATGTCTGATGTAAATCCTCCCAGCTGTCGCCTCCTTCAGAAACTGTTAGGTGATGCGTTTATGTGCAGCTGCTTACCTGAGTGTGCCGTTTTCTCCTTTATCCAGGCTGGTGAAGCGGCTGTATAGGCGGGTGATCTGGCTGTGGGAGACTGCAAACCAAACCATTTCAATGTTTTATAGACAGGACAGGAGAACATAACACACACACCTCCTAAATAAATACTTAATACAATTACACCACACTGACAGCGCCCAGGTAATCCACAAAATAGCACAGTAAACCTCCAGCTACACATACACAGTTCAATGTCAGTATTTATTTTATTTTTTAACTTACAGCCCGTTTCCTTCTTGATTTCTTCAATTTCTTCTTCTCTGAGTAACGTAGACGCTCTGGACCCCATGGCGAAACCTTAAAAAAAACGACTTCAGTAGCTCCCAATATTGCACAACAGAACCAGCCGAGATACGTCGAGGCTGAAAGTTAGCAAGCAAGCTAACCTTGCGGGCTGAACTTTAAAAAATGATACGGTTCGTTCAAACAGAGGTCAGAAGCGGAGTTTAGCCCAGGCGGTCGCTTGCTGCCTCTCTGTTGACACAACTCGACCAGTGGCCTGCTTTCTGTTAAAGCTTTCTTCCAGTCGGTCCAGATTTCATGATGTTGAGGCGAGTTTCGGTCCGGCTAGCTTCCTGTCTAATGAGGTGGGCGGGAGCAAGCACGACCACGCCCTGACAGGATCTGTCCCATAGTCTATGATCTGTCCGTCTCGTCTCATTAGATTTAGGTAGCATACCATTTTGCCTGCATGGAAAATAAATAAATAAATAAATAAATTAATTAATAAATGAATAAATAAATAAATAAATAAAGTTGGGAATGTGAGGTGGTCCACTTAAAAATAACTGCATGGTTTGTTACGTCAATCCGCGTTTCCCCATCAGATACGGTTCCCCCTTCGTCCTCTTGCCGCTCTGCCCCGCCCACGCGGCAAAATAGGCGCGTGCTCGTGATGAGCACTGAAAAAGCACGCGAGTAGCAAGCACGCGCTTGTTCGGCGCGCTTGTCTGAGGAACTACGGACACCGTGAAAGCTCAAACAACATGTTTCGGCAAAGTTGTCACATTATTAATAGTAATAATACTAATAATTATAATAA